CAGCCATACGTAACACACTAACACTTGCTTACATCCAAAGAATAAGAATTAAAGGTCAAGCAGCAATTTAAAATAGGTATATGCATATACTTTGTAAGTTACTTTTTTTCCATGAGGCAGGGAGGTTCTTTCTTCATAGCTAATGCCTTGCTACAGTACCTTTCAAATTCAATGGAAAAAATACCTTTCTGTTTTTCTTTCCTGCAGTTTAACACCTGAAAGAAGCTAAATTAATTTGTTTTATGAAGTATATTTATAAAGGACGTCTAATGTACTATTCTCACTCAAAGTGATGTTAAAACATGTAACTAAAAAGCCTCTGAGTTCAGGACAACTGGATCAAATTTAGCCAGTGTCTTTTATTTCACCATATTATATTCCAATGAAAGCTATTTTGGGAAGAGAGAGGGACAAAGCTGGAGGAAAACTGTTTTGGCCATACAATTATGGGAATACTGCTATTATTCAGGCATCAGGAAATAGGAAGCGTCACAAAAATTACTTCCTTACCTACATTTGTTAGAAATAAAGGAAAGGTCTTCTTGATCTCTGGTACAAATGTTTATGATGCCAAAATATTGGATGGCTTGAATCCAGGATATTAAAATAGTTCTGCCTTTTGAAGTCTGAATTTGAGGCTGGGGTGGGTTTAATGCTGACATCCCTTACCAGTCTAGAGATCAGCAATATTGTCTGTCTTTACTCCCCTCCTCGTTCCACTAGTCTAAAAAGAGATATATATACTTCTTACTCAGGACTGGGTTATGCAGTTGTTTTGCATCTTTTCTAATTCCTTTCTCTCACTAATGTTGGCAATGCTTCAAGGAGTTATTTTGGGAAGTAAAAGACACTGGGAACCTTTAACAGCCAAATTGATTACAGAATTTTTCCTATGTCCTTAAAACTAACGTTTGTCTTCAAAATTTGACATGGAAAAAAGTTTGTGCTATAAACTGTGTAAATGAGAGTCAGAAAAATATGAAGCATAATATTACAGTACCACCAGAGTTAACACTAAACAAATCAAAGCATTTAATGAAAAAAAAAAAGTTGAGCCTCAATCATACAGAAGTCATTTACACCCTCCACATAAACAAAATATTCACACAATGTGAAAAAAGCCCCAACCTAACAGGAAACCCACTCTCATATTTATACAAGCTACTTTACATAACAACAGAAACTACTGATTTTATCCAGGTAAGGCAAGAAAGAAAACAACTTGCTTTTTTTCTTTAAAAGACACATCCACAAGCAAGTAATAAGTTCTGTTTGACATGTCCAAGGGTTTGGCTTTTTTTGATTATTACTGGCATGTCCTTTGTCATAAACCAGACCTTCAAATTCTGTTGATTCTGTTATGCACTCAGAGATCTATCAGATATATTCCCTCTTAGAAAACCATGTGTTGTTACATTCAACCAGACACTTTTTCCACTGTCAACTCTCCAAAACATGAACACACACTATTAAAAAAAAAATAGATCTACTAGTAAGGAATAAACATGTTTCAAGAAAGAGGAAAGGAGTAGACTTGCACATAGCAGGTTTATTCTATGGTATCAGAAGGTTTTTCCCCATCTTCTTCCTTTTTTTTTAGCATCCTGAAAACAGCATATAGCATTCGTGATTTCTCACCCATTCAGTATCAATACTAACCAAATACTAATACTGGCATTGATGGTTTCCTAACTAAAAATCCCCAAATTTTCTTAAAGGAAGTATCATCAAATTATTAAATGTTTACATTCTAAATACACAGGGTGTTGCTGCAGAACAAAAACATTTACAGCATAGTAGAAAGAAAGGAAAGAAAAAGATGATGATGGGAGGAAAAACAGAACATGCTGCTTTCATTCATCTAGTGGTGATGTCAGTGCCTGTAATGGTAGTTGCAGTGACCTGTAGAGGCTCAAAGCTGGAGTGTTTTCACAGCAATCTCCTTTATAAAAAGAACCTCTGGCAAATCACTAAAATATCCACAACAAAATGGCTTAGTAGAATAGTCAGTTCAAAGAATCTATAATGGGAAAGGCTGAAAGAAGGTAGGAAAGGGGCAGGTGTCTTAAGAAGAAAACAACATCTATCCATCAGAATCGTAAGCAGTCTCCAGAACGAGCATATTCGTGAAACAATCCAAGTCAGACTGCAGAGCCAAAGACAAACATCTCCTGCACTGGTGAGAAAAACAACAGGATTAAACCTAGAGCCTAAGCTCACATTTTACAGCAGTGGGAAATGGCTTTGAAAAACTGACAAAAAAAACTTAATCAAGCCGCTTCCCCAAGACTTGCATACTGATAACAACTATAAATAGCTGGAGTAGCACATTGTTTAACAAGCCACAGCAAGATGGACCATGTCTGAAAACAGAACATTTTTGAATTTTTTTCAAGTCCTCCATTATTACTGCAGCAGTACTCCAGCAATCAATTTTCTATATACTACTATCACCACATAGACTATAAGTAATGTTTTTAGTACCAAACATCATGTACTGAAATGCTAAGGAACACACAGGGAAACAAAGACAAAATACTGCCCCATGGCATGCAACTATATTCCAAATTGTGTAAAAACAGCTCTAGGTTTTGGGGGCAGAGAGGGCTGGGGGTTGGAAATCTTTTTTCATTCCCAAGACCGAAGAAATAGAGTATCTTATTACCCTGCCCTCTAGAAAATGGTGCCTGTATTTCGGTAAAATAAAGCTGTTGACGTGTGCAATTGTGGTCATTATTAGGGCGATCACGTTGTTTTCATTCATTCATTCAGGATTTGCTAGAGGATGTCAGCTCCTGCAGCAGCAGCTGGCTTGACCTGGAGGAGGGGGAACGAATTCCTTGCAGCGCATACAGATTACAGGGTGCACTTCTTGAAGGACCATTTAGGATTTTGTACACTGCACCTACTAAACCGAATCAAGCTATGTGTGCTGCTAACGAGGTTCATGGGGAGGCAAGCTCAAACAAGTTGAGTGACAGAAAAGTCATTCAGTACTAATTTACAATCTGATTTATTAAGGCTAAAATAGCCCACAGATGGAGAAGACTGAAACCACTTTCTAAAATTAAAAAGTTCCCCCCAACAAAAAAATTCATGTGCAGTAATGAAATACTTCACAGCTTTGCAGTATTTTTCCTTGTTTGCAGGTTAACTGCCCACATTCCTCCCTCTTCAATATACCTTAAGCGTACACTTTATACACTGCACCACTACAATGTTTTCCTCTGGGTACCCATAATTAAATAATTCAGAATGTTCATCATTGGCACCATCACTACTCATATGCACTGACTTTTTTGAGTTTTTTCTAGTTTTCCATTAGCATTTTCCAAAGGTTTAAGAAGGAAAAAAGGAAATCTACATTTAATGCTCCATACAGCCAAAAAAACTATGATCTCTAACATTTTAAATAGAGCTTGAATAAAGTAAAACCACTGAAGCTCAGTTCTATTTTCAAGCATGCAAAACTTCTGCGTAAATAGATGATCTTTTTCAAAAATAAATTTCAAAGTATCTCTGTTCAGACTATAACACAATCGATTTGGTCATCTGCATAAACAGATGCACAAGGCAAATTAACTCTATGCCAAACTGGCACTGACATTTTGCTCATTTGCAAAACACTGCCCCTGTCCTAGGACTGTTCTGACGATAGATCTGCCTGAGTTACAAATACTACAGATAGTAAGGTTTTACTACACATAAAAACTGAAGGGGGCAATTGGGGAGAAGGTAAGATTCCACTGCTACAACACATGTTGGCACCCAACACAGACCACAATTTGACACAGAAGTGAAACACACAGTAAGACTTATGGAAGGGACAGAAAAAGTGAGCGCTATGGAACCATATAAAACGTTCCCAGATAGAGATGATGTGAGATACCTGATAGTTACAATAGGATAACATGAAAAGTGCATTTAGTCCAATTCATTCAACTGCTAAAGTGATGGGGGAAGGAGGGAGGGAGGTAAGATGGCCACTGCTACTTTAACACATTCAATAATTTAATAGACAACCTGACGCAGGTTAAGTTGGACTTGCTGGGAATCAGTTTTACATTTTAAACTTTACAGGCCTGTTTTGGCTGCACTGGAGGTTGGTTTGTTTGGTTTGGGAGTTGGGTTTTATTTGGTTGGGATTTTTTTACAATTTCAAGGATTCAGTATTAAATATCACAAGGAGACTGTTATTTGTTTTTAAGCATCTCAATATGGGTATTTCCTTGTTTTGGAGTCTGTGCTTGAAAACATCCTATCTTTTAACCTAAGATGCTACAAAAATGCAAGTCTAAGAAACTGAGCTCTGCAGAAAGGAAGAGCGTTTGAGGCTTGGTTTTAACACACACTTTGGAACTCGGTTGTGACACCCCAGATATAAATCTAACCCATTAACACCCTTACTAAATAGTTACAGCTGTAGACAGGGAAGCGGGTTACTTTTAGGCTCGTTCCTTTACTACACACCTCCGCAGCCAGGGCCCGAGTTCAAGGGTACAAAGGAGGGGGAGCACCGTCGTAGGAGTGCCCCGATGCTCCCCCCGGAGGGGCCGGGCTGGGCGGTGGGAGCCGTCGCAGAGGGACCCCCGGGGCTTGCCCCGGCTCCGCTCCTCCCGAGGCCGCGCGGATGGGAGCACGGGGCGTTCTTCCCAAGCAGGATCTCCACCTCGGCCGAGACAGAGGATGACATTTCAGGGGGCGTCTCCCCCCCACCTCGGGGGAGGACGACGGGACGAAATGTTTTTTCCTCCGTTCGGCTGCACTTCTGGTAGGGCAAGCGCAGGCACGACACCTGACCCGGGTGTGTGTGGCGACGGGGGAGTGTTTTAGGGCTCACCCTCGCTCCCCAGTGCTCCAGATGGGCTATTCCGGCCAGGCCGGGAGTTCCCCGGTCTCCCACCCCCTCTGGCCCGGGGAAGGTGCAGGACGCAGCCCCACAGCAGGCAGCAAAGCCCCGGGGGCAGGGGAGCGGGACTGGCTTTGTCCCGGTGCTTTACCTCTGTACACCGGGGAGCTGGGGCTCCGTCTCTCAGGTGAGCTGCTCCTCCTGCTGCCGCCGCTCTCCGGCGAGCGCCGCTGCCTGCCCTTCACCCTGCCCGGCTCCACTCCGCCCGCTGCCAGCGGCGGCGTCGCGCTGGGCGGCGGAGGGGGGCTGCCCCCGCCGCGACCCCCCGGCCCCGTGCCGCTGCCCACCGAGGCGGAGGGGCACCGGGTCGGGCTGTGCTGGTTGCCCCGCAAGAGCTGGTACGGGACGGTCGCTCGGATGGGCTGGAGCAGCCGGCTGGTCCCCGCCGCGCCTCCCCCAGCGCCGTTACCGGGGCCCCCGGCCGTGCCGCCACCGGCAGTGGGGGACCCAGCGGCGCCGCGCCTCATCCTCTGCGGCGGGGGCTGGTGGTGGGACGGGGGGGTTTGGGAGGAGCTGGACGAGGACATGGCGGGGATGCGCAGGACCCCGCGGGTCACTCGCTCCGGCGGCTGCGGGGAACCCGAGCTCGGCCTCCGGCGCCCCGCATGCACCGGCCGCGGGGAGAGGAGGAGGAAGGGGGGGAAGGAGAGAGGGGGCGGGGCGGGACAAGCGCTGCACGGCCCGAGGGAGTCTCCGCGCCGCCTGCCCAGCTGCCCCCGGCGCTTCCTATCGGCGACGGCGGCTGCTGCTCCCACGCCAGGCTCTGGCCATCGCTGCCCGCCCCAGCGTCGAGAGCACCGGGGGCGCTGCCGAGCCCAGCGGCCGCTCACATCGTACAGCGCTGCCGGCTCAGGGTGGTCACCGGCGGGGCGCGACGAGGGTGTACGCTGCCCGAGGAGGGAGGATGGGGAGGGGGGGAGGCGCTCCCAGCCAGCTCCAGCTCCTGCCCCCGCCGGCGCCCGGCAGCCGCAACCACCACCATCCGCTCGCCGCGCCGCCCGCCCTCCGAATGGCAGCGCGCAGCCCCGGCGCCCGGCCGCGATGGGCAGGGGCGGCGGGCGCGCGCGCCCATTGGGCGCCACAGGGGCACTAGCGCAGGCTCCATTGGCCAGTGGCCCTGTCGCTCTTATCGGCTTAGCCAATGAGAGCGCGGCAGAGCGCGGCGGGGGCGGGGCGGCGGTGCAGGGGGCGTGGCCGGCGGCGGTGGGGGCGGGCTGTGGGAAGTGGGATGTGGCGGCCGCGGGAGGGGCGGGGACGGGCCCGGAGCCGGGCAGGGCATGGTTGGGTGCACCGCCCGTCGGGGGCACGGGGCACAGCAGCCCCCGAGGTGCCAGGATGCGCCTCTGAGTTCACAGTGGACTTCATGGCGATGCCGACTTGACACTGACTAAAGAGAGCCAGTGCTCTGCACCGAGTCTTGCACTGCCCGTATTCCCAGAGGACTTTCTGTCTCTCCTCGTTCACTCCTCTCCCGTGCAGCGAAGGCTGAGAAACAGCCAAAATTTCCTGCAACAAAGTTTATTCACACCCATGAAGCCTTTACAATATTTTTACTTTTGTTAGAAGATCAAGATGTTCTTCAAAGTCTAAAGTATAGTTTCATAATTTCCTATAAATGTATATGGAGTTATTTTTTTCCTAATGTACATCCAAAAACAGTTCTCAGAGAATGTCAAGAGGAAAACAAAGAATTTCACAGTAATATTTAAGTGCTTTTGTTCTAGGAGAAAGAGCTCCTACAAGATGAATTGATAACACAAGACAATGAGAGAAAATAAAGGTTAGGATGAGTAGCTTAATAGCTAAGAAAATAAATGTCTGTGAGATCAGAAAGATAAGTTGAGCTGAGTCCATCAAGAAAGCAGTGTTTATGTTGGATCTGATGCAAATAGGATGCTAATGGAGGTGAAGGAAAATGCAGGGAGTCTTGCTATGTGGAGGAAGTCTGCTCAGTGTGATGGCCTCTCAGATTCAAAGTGCAGGCATTAAGAGAACAAAAAGGACATGGAATATAGATAGAATTTAAAATAGCTGGTGTTTAACAAGCTATATTATGCTATATTATCTACTGCCTTCCAATCTAATAAAAGTGTCACAGAATTAACTATAACCCTTGTACTCTTTTTTATTATATAACAAACACTCATAATGGTCTTGCACATTTCAGGTTACTACACTTACTTCCAAAGCTGTCCATAGCTATCCTTATCCCTTGGTAGCACAGGAACCAGTCAATAGTCCCAGCGAGAAACTGTATTCTCGGAAAATGCTTCTATTCATGGGCTGTTAGCGAGACTTTGTTTGCACTAGCACCATGTGACGCAGTCACCGCGGTTATGTTACAGAAAGGGTTGGAATAATACACCCCACATCCACATGAACATGTGCTCAGTCAACAAAGCCACTCGTACAAATTAATTTTAAGAAAAATCAGCAACCATGTATTTTTCCATTAGTCCGGTCTTTTTGTTTTCTGGTAGCATGAGCCAAATTTGTTTGTATAACTGGGCTGTGGAGACTTTTTTCCCCAAGGATTTTACACTGTGCTTAATCACAGCTATGAAGTGCATCTAGTTTATTTTTTCTGCTTCAATGCTCTGGGATCAAAATGGCTGGAAAGCATTCACCTGTAGTAGCCCTCTGCCCACACTGACTTCAGTGGTGTTTTAAACGGTAAGCACATTTTCCTCTGTCTGTAACTCTGTCAGCTAACATTGCCAATCCAGTAATGTCTTATAGACCAAAAATCATTCGGTGTCAGTTGAGAGAGAAGGTGCATCTCTGACTAAGACAATAGCTGATATGTTCTGGCTATTGCCAGTGCTCAGGATCACATCAGAATAAAATAGAGATGAACTAGTTCAACTCTTGAATTTATCAGTTTAGAAACTGTTTTACAATGCCTAAATTTTGCAGTTTCCATCATGTTCTTGCCCATCAAAGAAGTGAGGTATTTGAGCAGGAAGAACAGATGCATAAAGACAAGGTAAATGTCTGACACAAAGAAAATCCCCAAAACAAGAACACATACACCCCACCACATCACAGCCTTACAGTCCAAACTGAACCAACATTTCACCTGCCTTCAAAGCAACTGGAGAAGAAAAGATCAACTGAGGCTGTTTCCAGTCAAACGGTTACCAGACACATCAACAGCTGTACAGGGGAGACTTTGCTCCCCAAAAGTTATTTCCATCCTCATTCTTTCTTAATTGGAGTTAGCATACATAGTATAACAACACAGTGCCATGTGCCCAGGAAACAGTGATTTCAGAAAAGATGAAGAAAGTATTCTTACTTGTTTTAAAGTGGATTGCCAACTGCTGAATTTTTCAGTATGTTTTTCATCTAGGCTTCAGAGTACTTCCCTTAGGGAATACCATTGCTCTGTAATATTCAGAAGATATTACAGGGAAAGTGAAGCAAAAACTGAGCTCCTATCAGAGTCTTCATGTCTTTCAAAAACCCATGTTTGCTTTAAATACCCTGAGACAACTTTTCAAAAGCCTTATAAAAGGCATTTCTTGCTTCTCTTTTCCATTCTAAGAAACTACCTTGTCATCTGGTATGCGCTTCAGGGAGTTTATACTGGAGGTAACGGGTATTTCTGAATCTTAAATCCTTCTGGGAGACAGAGACATTGTTAACAAAGCTTCTGGGAGAGGCATCCTGAGAACAGTGGAAATTATACATCACAGCAAGAGCGTGAGAGCCAGGGAGTGAACTCAGGGAGAGGGGCAGCGACAGGCAAGTGTGAAGCAAAACTACACACATCTCTTCTACTATTATCAATTGATAATAGGCTCACCTCTCAAGGTCAGAAACAGGTTTATTTGAGTGCCATGAGCCATAGAAACCGAGACGTTTCAAGCAGTCACTAGAAACTGTGCAATCCTAATCTTTATTTTGTTCCTACTTCCAGGTTTTAGAGAGGAAAACCTCTTAAAATCTGGACATAGCTTTTGTTTCTAGGCATTTACCAGGTCATAAGGCCATCAATACTCTGTTCCTAGTGTATCTACCTGCTTGTTTCTTTATTTTTATTCCTCTCTTATCTCTATGTTTTCTTTGCTGTCCTGTGCCCACTCCATTTAGAATCAAGTCCTTTGTGACCATCTCTGAAGTATGCACATAGCACCTAAACACAGAGATAGTAATGAGAATAGGTGCATTGATCTTCACATATGTTCAGATCTATTCCCTGTGTTTTACTTATTTGCAATGAATATACAAGTGCAAATATTATATTTGGGAAGAGAGAAATAACAAGAAGTACTTACATCAACTGTTATATTCTGAAGGAGATGATGACCAGAAAGCATTATCTGTAGCCGAAGACTAGAACAACCCCAAATAACTCAAGCTGCAGCACTTAAATGATAAAACTGAGGCTAAAACATGCTTAGCTCTGTGGACTTGCAGCATCCCTAGGCATGAATTGGAACACCACCTGTAGTAAGAGCCCATGTGAAACACTCCTGCTATCTGGAGCTGAGCAGGTCCATTGAAGCAAGAGTGACATGTTTTCCTAGAAAATACCTGGCTCAAGCTGTGGGGGTGTTGGTTTAGTTTTTGGCCTCTTTTGCCTTTAAACAAAGTTCTAGCTAGAATAAGCCAGGAATGGGAAATATACATATAATATATATATGGAATTATTTTTACTACAAGGTTTCACTGCCTTCATCATCCCCACTTCATCTTGTCACAGCTCCCAAATGGTCAGTGGCACAGATATGATCTACTCAGATCAGCCGAGCACTCTCTATCCCCAAGCCTCTTGGGATTTACCTTGCCATTGGGCCCTCGAATTTCCCAGGGCTGCTGATACAATGTCAGTATCTCCACTGCTGGCTTTGTTGACACTCATTAGGGAAGGGACTTCCAACTCATGATGACTTTCAAGTCTCTACATGCTCAAGTTATCTTCCAACAATAAAAGGAAATCCACTACTGAGGACTTACCTTAACATTGTTATCATCCAATTTAGGGCCAAACATGAGGTCAAGTGTTAGATTTCCTTTCCTTGTGTCTTTGTTTTCCTGGATATGGGGATAAGGGATTAAGTAAAGGGCTGTTAGACCTATGGTCCACCAGTATTTATACTAGGTCAAATTTAGTATTTATGACTACTCACAAACTGGAAAATTTCAGAATTAAGTTTAGCATCAAATTTTAGCCAGAAGGTATTATAGTACTGTCTTTTTAGTCAAATGCTATTGTTACTGTATTTCATTCAGTGCATAGGATTGTCGCTGTGAGTAAGGACTGCATAATGAACAAGCCAGGAAACTACAGAATAAGAACCATAAGATTTTCCCTTAAGAAAACTGAATACTTTCTGGATAATTGTCTTTTTTTTTTTTCTATCTGTCAGAAGCCTTTTTGTGGTATTGAATAACTCACTTAAAGCAGAATCTGCCCATTAACGTTACCTTTGTTATAACAAAGTCTTATCTCATCTGGAATCAGACCTACTGGTACATCCTCTTCTCTGCTTCACGAAAATAGGCCAACCACTAGGGACTTTTGAACTATGTATTCCTTAGGCATCTGCTCTAACATAAAGGCAAACATTCAACTCACAGCTAAAATCACCAAGCCTTTCCAGGCTCTGCATTCAGTCTCAAGTTTTTCTTTCTATTCATTGGTACAGGTAATTCTATTCAACACTTTCCTTTAGCTACAAGTTAACCATGTCAGACTGTACCTTGTGACTAGCTGAGTTTTCTCCAGCCAGCAACTCTGCCCTACATTACTACTTTGAGGTTGGTTACTTGACATAATCACCATCTCCATCTCCCTTCCCCAGTTCATCATCTGGGAAAAAAATCAAGTTGGCACAGCCCAACTTCTTTCATGGGAGTTGCTGAGAGGATTTGCAGATTTGTTTTCCCTTTTTTCCATTTTTAGGCAATTGGTATAAGAACACCTGTTGACAAGTATGTGAGGTTGCTATACATCAAAGGGAAGCTGACTGAAACAGTGTAAAATGGTTGG